TGATATGGAGAAAGAGCTAGAAACATAGTGAGGTACTTAAATGTTAGTAGTTATTAGTGGTTATTCGATAAATAATATCCTAATATAATTTCATAGAATATGAAAAGAGAGTACAGGCTATCATTAGGGCTGACCCAGCCATGAAGTATGAATTTGTGATTGAGAAAAGCATGGTCTCCTGAGCGGTTAGGGCAGTGGATATGTTTGGCTCACTGACCAGTTCCCTCAGAATGAGGCTGTAACTGCTTATTTTAAGTAACCAAGAGTTGACAGCTATACTCTTAATGGCTTGTAAGCTCTCAGAAAGGAGAAATTATCTGCAAAAGTGATAGCTAAGTCTTAGCATTCAGTGAGGCCTTTGCATTATAGAGGAAAGAACCATGTCTCAGGAATTGAAACCTGAGTTCAAGTACGGATTTTGCCATTTATTAGCTCTGTGGCCCTTAACAAGACAGTTAACATCTCTGAGCCTTAGTCCTCATCTGTAAAACTAGGATAAGTGGGATTATGAGCTGTAAATCCCAGTATATAAGCGGAGTGGTATTAGCATCATCCCTACTTGATATCTGCAACAGAGCTCACTAGACAGCCTCCTAAATCCACAAAAGTGAATTTTATGCCTGATTCATACCCTTTAGAATCTTCAGTCCTGGCATTCTTCAGAGCTGTTCTGGCTGCCTGGATTTCCCAATGACCAGAATAGAATGTATCTTAGGAAAGCATACAGGCCATTCGAGTGTTGCTCCCAATCTTGGGGATTGGAACCGAAGCATGCTAGCATTTGGGAAGGAATAATGATGACAGTGAAAACATTTGAAACAATTATAATACATATGAGAGATGCTGTCATGAACCCAGGAATGTAAAATTCAGAAATCTGCATCTCTTACACTCTACATTGTTGCCTTTCAGGCCCTCAGTACAAGAGAAGAGACCAAATGACAGCTGCTTTTGAACTTGAGAAATCTGGGCCTACCAAAAGCTACAGTCACCCTTTCTTAACCTCGCCAATCCTCCTTGCATTCTCAGAAATAATTGCTAGAGGTTCTCTTTTAAGTTAGCTGATTCCTTGGATACCTTACATTTTAAGTCAACTTTTTGTGTGTAGCAAACCCCCCATTTCTTGTCTCTGAATGTGTGATCTTTGCTCTAATTATGTTGAGAGTGCCTGTTATTTCACCTGACTATGGTTGTTTGTGAGCTACTAAGTAGCCATGAGGTTGAAACAGACTAGGATCAGAGAGAAACTCAGCCTCTCAGGACCTTAGTTTCCTCTTTTAAAAAGGAAGGAGATTGGACTAAGGTCATTTGGTCATGTGACAAGAGTACGTGATAGATAAAGTAATGAACTTCTGTTCGGTGAAAGCAATGAATAGGGCTCTCCAAGGTCCCTTTCAGCTTTCTGGTTCCAGCAGAGCCCAGGCCTCAAAATAGAAGTCAAGATTTTATTCAGAATATAGGGATGACCAGTAGCAACAATAAAAAAAAATAAATAAACAGGTAAGGTTGCATCAAGCTAGAACCCCTCAAAAGATGTCTCAGACCATGGGTTAGGTCTGCCCAGAGGAGAGCACAGAATTGTCACGGGAGACAGAATCGAAAATCTTGACCAAGAATTAGAATGGCTTTTCTCTATTGGATATTGAAATCCAGAAATCCAGGCAAAGGTGGGTCTAGCTTTTGCTCCATGAACCTCCAATTGTTTGTTTGTTTGTTTTTAAATTTAGGATCATCTTATCAATTTTTTTTTTTTTTTTAAAGACAGGGTTTTACCATGTTGGTCAGTCTGGTCTTGAACTCGCGACCTCAGGTGATCCGCCTGCCTTGGCCTCCAACGTGCTTGGATTACAGGCACGAGCCACCGTGTCCGGCCCCCTCCAATTGTTTATTGGGAGGCAATGTGTATAGGAAGCCTGTTATTCCTTCCTAGTGCTAATGCCTTTCCCTTATTAGTCCATTCTGCTGGTCACTGGCAAAACTGCTTTAATTGTGCTCTTTCTAGTTCAGAGTGCCTTTCTCAGAAGGCAGGCGTTTGAGTTCCTCTCCCATTGTCTAGACTCATACCCCACACATCCTCTTACGTGGGTGTTTTTGAGACCCACTCTGGTCAGCCCAGGGTCCATAACACTGATAGCAGATACTTACTGGGTGCCTCTCCAAAGCCGGGTGCGGTGCCAGTTGCCTGCATGCATATGTTATTTCCAGTATATGTGCCAAGTATGTCTCTTTAGGTCTAGGTTTGTGTTTCTCCCTTAGTCTGCAATTCTTTATCTTTTCACCTTGTCTGTTGATGTTGAATCTTGAAATTGCCAGCCCTAGTCCTTCCCTGGCTACTCACTGGGATCGATCTGCTTTTTCTCTTCTCTCCTTTTCTTCCTTTCCCTCTTCTTGTCTCTTGTGGATTGAGTTAAGAGCTCTGTTTTCAGTCATTCCAGTATTCGATTCAGTATTGGATTACTAACTCCCTGTGGACGAGATTGATTTACCTTTCATTTTGTTCCTACACAGTACCTAGCAAGGTACTGAGTAAATGGTGGGCAGTTGACCCACAAATAGTTAATTATTTGTGTATGTTACCAGTGACCGGTATGAGGTCATGTGTGTATTGCTGGCTGAAGACTTAGGGGATAATCAGTACAAACAACTGGAGAATATCAGGTCCAGTTCCCTGAGGCACGTAAGAGAGCCCCTTACACTCTAGTAGTGGCAGCAAAGGCTTTTGTCTTGTTAGGGAACTTGCCAGCTGTTGTGGATTACAGAACATCTACTTTATTGATTTGAGCAATGTATATGGAGACTATAAATATGTAGTATGATTTTTCTCCCTATTCATTAAAGGGATTCCATGTTTTGTGCAAACTATGAGTTAGTTCTCACTTGTACTTTTTCTGGTTTTTCTCCTGTGTGTGACTGTTGTTTCCTTCCTTTTCTGGAGTCTCGCTCTGTCGCCAGGCCGGAGTGCAGTGGCACGATCTCGGCTCACTGCAATCTCTGCCTCCCGGGTGCAAGTGATTCTCCCGCGTCAGCCTCCTGAGCAGCTGGGATTACAGTCGCATGCCACCACGCCCAGCTAATTTTTTGTATTTTTAGTGGAGATGGGTTTCACCATGTTGGCCAGGATGGTCTCCATCTCTTGACCTTGTGATCTGCCTGTCTCAGCCTCCCGAAGTGCTGGGATCACAGGCGTGAGCCACCGAGCCTGGCTGTTGTTTCCTTATGACTCAGAGGATCCTCAAACTTTCTTTCTTTTTAGACAAAGTCTTACTCTGTTAGCCTGGAGTGAAATAGTGTGATCTCGGCTTACTGCCGCCTCTGCTTTCCAGGTTCAAGTGATCCCACCTCAGGCTCCTGAGTAGCTGGGGATACAGTCGTGTGCTACCACACCTGGCTCGTCTTTTTGCATTCTTCACAGATGGGGTTTTGCCGTGTTGCCCAAGCTGGTCTTAAGCTCCTGGGCTCAAGTGATCCACCCACCATAGCCTCCCAAAGTGCTGGAATTACAGGCATGAACCACCACGCCCAGCCCTCAAACTTTCAAATTGCTTTTGGAAGTAGACGGAATAAAAATTTAAATGAATAAATATTCTTTGTGCTCCTTTTAGAAAGCTGGCCTAGTTTCTACTTTGTGTTAAATTCCCATTTGTGTTTTGGGTCATTATGCAGCACTTGGTTCAGCCAATTAAGTTTCCTCTTTCTAAGTATCTTTATTCTATATCAGTATAGTCTTTTCTGGAGGCTTTAATATTGTTCCTTTGAGGAACATTCGTCTTTCTGGTACTCTTCTGTTGCTTAAACGTTCTTCCCATGGGACTTTCGACAATTTTCCCAAGCCTAGTAATTCAGTAAGTACTTAATAACATAATTTAGGTTCCTTCTACATGCGAGTCTACAGGACTTAGAGATTCCAACATAACAGTGTTCCACTATGGCTTCTTACCTCTGGAAAGCGCACTTCACCACATGACAACTAGTGCTATATTCTATCTCCTCCATTTACTTCCTTGCAAAGAAAGTTAGGCAGAAACAAGTAAAATATATATTAGAGACTTTTACGTTTCATTTGTGAGATGAGCAAAATATAGTTTCGCCTCTATAGTGTATTTCAGTGGCCCCCAAGTCACTAGTGTATCCCTCATGATCATATATATTTATTTAATAACAGACTTGTGTTCCTGAAAGTGGTATGTAAAGATTCTAGTTTAATTGTTTATTTACAGATAAATACTTAATGAGGATGATTTCATAGCCTCTCTCAGTGCCAATAATAAGAGCTAACACATATAGTGCTTACTGTATGCTAGGCATTGTTTTAAGTATAAATACAACCACACACTAATAAGTATCACAGAGCTGGCTTTTAAGAAATATAATCAGAGGATCTCTGCCTTTTAACAAGAGAGTTTAATGTTTCTTTATTGTGATGACCAATATATTTGGACTTTTTCTTCTATCTTAATTTGTTTTCCTTTCTTTTTTTGGGATGGAGTCTCGCTCTGTTGACAGAGCCTGGAGTGCACTGCCACCTCTGCCTCCCAGGTTCAAGTGATTCTCCTGCCTCAGCCTCCCAAGTAGCTGGGATTATAGTGCCTGCCACTATGCCCAGCTAATTTTAGTATTTTTAGTAGAGATGGGGTTTCACCATGTTGGCCGGGCTGGTTTCAAACCCCTGATCTCAAGTGATCCTCCCACCTCAGCCTCCCAAAATGCTGGGATTACAGGTGTGAACCACTGTGCCTGGCCATCTTAATTTGTTTTCTGTTTACCATACTTTTCTTACTTTCTTCCCCTTTCCCACCTACTACTGGATTAATCACATTTTCTTTATTGTCTTTTATACCTCTTGTTTGTAAATATTCAGCTTCTTTTCCCTTATAGCCTTGCACATGAATGTACATAGTTTGCTTAACAAAGGCTATAGGTGTTATTTTGTCATCCTTGACTCTTAGAACACCCTAACTTTAGTCTCTCTCACCTTTTGTGTTGTGGATTTTTAATTTCAGAAAGACAGTGGATTCCTGTGTTTAACCGTACAGAACTCCATGCCAGACTGCCCGATTTTGAACTTCACTCTGCCACATACTAGCTGTGTGGCCCTGGGTAAGTTATGTGACCTCTCTGTGCCTTAATTTTCTTACCTATAAAGTGGAGGTGATGAGTACCCACTTCATAGGGTTGTTGAAAGGATTAAATGAGTGAATATACACAGAGCCTGGCACATAGTAAGCACTCAATGTGTGGTAGCTACTATGTTATCATTATTCTATTTTGTTTTTACTCTCCCCTTTCCATAGTCATTTTTGAAAGCCGGTGCATTTTAGATATATTAACATATTAAATAATTTTTAAATTGAGATATAATTAATATACATTACAACAATCTTAAGTGTTCTAGTTGAAGAGTTTTGACAAATATCTACTCTTGTAACTGCAACCCAAAATAAGATGTAGAATATTTCCATTCTCCCAGAAAGTTCCTTGGTATCTCTTTACATTTGATTTTTTTCCTGCTCACATTACGTCTAGAACCACGGTCTGATTTTTATTATGGTAGGTTAGTTTTGCCTGTATTTCTGCTTTCTATAAATTGGATCATATAGTGTGTGCTCTTTTGTTTCTTGCTTTTTGACATAACACATCTTTTAAGATTTATCCATGTTGTTGCATGTATAATAGTTCAGTCTTCATTATAAGAAATCGCCAATCAGTTCTCCAGGTAGGTGTACCGTTTTACACTTCCACCAACAGTATATGAGAGTTCTGGTCACCCAACATTCTCACCAGCATATGGTTATCAGTCTTTCTGATTTTAATAGTTTTAGTGGATATGAGGTTTAATAATTCTTTTGCTTGCTGCTTGCTATTTTTTTCTTACACACGTATCTCTTCTTTCTGGTTCAGTTTTCTTCCTGTAGTAATTCTTTCAGTGACAGTCTCTGAGTCTTTTATGTTTATTTAAAAAATCAGCCTGACCTGATAGTTTATCATACAGATACTTGGTTGATTGGCATTTTCCTTAATATTTGAAAACTGTTGCTCCATTTTCTTTTTACATTTATTATTATTCATGAGAAGTCTGTATCAGTCTAGTTGTCGTTCTTTTGTAATGATATGTTTCTCGTGATTTGCTTAAATTTCTTTTTCTGTGTTGATATTTTGAAGCTTTTGTTCTTAAAACTCATCTTTCTTGGAACCCACACGTCTTCAAATTACTTCTCCCACATGTTCTCCATTGTCTCCAGCTGAAACACCCGTTAGATGCGTGTTTGGCTCTCTTATTTATATTCCGTGTCCCTTAACCTCTTTTTCATATTTTCTGTCTTTTTAACTACTATCTTCTAAGCAATCTTCTCAGACTTTTCTTCCTAATCACACATTTTTTCTTTAGCTATGTCTGATCTATTCATCTATTGATGGATTTCAGTGACTTAATTTTGTAGCCCTGTAAGTTCTTTTGGTTCTTTTACACATCAGCCTCTTCTGTTTTTCATACTGTCTTGTTCTTTCATTATGACTTCCTTTCATTTTGCCTATTTATTAAAATGAAACACAATTAATTTATAGCATTTTCATAGTAATCTTTAATTTGTAGTTTTCAATTCTTTGAGATGTTGTTTCTCTTCTTTTCTGCATCTAATGACTTTTCTTCATAGTGAAGTTACATGATTCATTTCCTCATGTGACTTTTTATTTTTTGCCTTTTTAGGAAGGTTCAGGGAGCCTCTTCTGTGGCCCTCTAGCATTTATCTGTCTAGATAGGGCCTCTCTTGTTTTGTTTTTCTACCTCATTCCCAACTCCTATTCCCATTCCCCTCTCCCTCTGTAGGTACCCACTCTATTTCATAAAATGTCTTTGACTGCACATGTAACCATATCTCATATATAGTATTATTTTGATTATGTGTTTGTAACTTACATAAATGGCATTGTGCTCTAGATCTCGTCCTGTTTCTTATTTTTTCATTCAATACTGGATATTTAAGATCTATTCGTGTTTCTCTCTGAATAGCAAGTTGTTTCTCTTGACTATTGCACTGTATTCCATATTATGTATCCTGCACATTTACTTAGATGGTCTTTTAGTGGTAGATATCTAAATTGCCTCTCATTTCCCTTCTACCATAAACCATGTTCCAGTAATCTTCCTGACCACTTCCTACAGACCTATCTGAGAATTTTTCTAGGATACGTACGCAGGAGAATGACCGGGGTCACAAGGCATATATGTACAACATATCTCACCAAGTATTACCAAATTGCTTTTCCAGAACAGCTATATCGATTTGATTCAGATCCAGGTTCTACTGCATGTTATTGTGAGGCCTTGGAGAAATTATTCAGCCTCTCTGGGCCTTAGTCTCCCTATGAGTAAGACTATAGTAACAGCATCTACCTCATCAGGTGTTCATAGAATAGAATGTGTTAATGTATGTAAAGCATATAAAGCACCTCCGATTGTAAGAGACATCATATAAATGTTAGCTGCTATTCCTGTTGTAACAACTACCGTTACTACTCGTTAGCCAGTTTCCCTGTTTTTTTTGTCTTGTAGTTCAACTTTTTTCCCCTAAGATATATAGGAATTTCTGGGTTTTTTTTTGTTTGTTTTGTTTTTGGTTTTTTTTTTTTTTGAGACGGAGTCTTGCTAAGATGTCAGCTCACTGTAACCTCTGCCTCCCAGATTCAAGTGATTCTCCTGCCTCAGCCTCCTGAGTAGTTCAGATTACAGATGCACACCACCACATTTGGCTAATGTATTTTTAGCAGAGACCGGGTTTCACCATGTTGGCCAGGCTGGTCTCAAACTCCTGAGCTCAGGTGATCCACCCGCCTTGGCCTCCCAAAGTGCTGGGATTACAGGCATGAGCCACTGCACCCAGCCAGGAATTTCTTATATACTCTCGATATCAATTCCTCGTTGCCTTTAAACTTTGCAGATATCTGCCATTTCTGTCATTTGTTTGTCTCTAGTATCCTTTGACAGAAATCTTTTAATACCTGTATACTCAAATTTATTCTCTTTTTTAAGAGAATAAATTGTTTTAGAAGTCTTTGCTTACCTTTTTCTTTTTTTTTTTTTTTTGAGACAGAGTCTTGCTCTGTTACCCAGGCCAGAGTGCATGATATTGGCTCACTGCAACTTCCGCTTCCTGGGTTCAAGCGATTCTCCTGCCTTAGCCTCCCAAGTAGCTGGGATTACAGGCATGTGCCACCACCCCTGGCTAATTTTATATTTTTAGTAGAGATGGAGTTTCTCCATGTTGGTCAGGCTGGTCTCGAACTCCTGACCTCAGGTGATCCGCCCACCTTGGCCTCCCAAAGTGCTGGGATTACAGGTATGAGCCACCATGCCTGGCTTTGCCTACCTGTTTCAAAGGTCCTCTCTGGCATTTTCTACTGTTAGCTTTTATAGATTTACTTTTCACATCTAAGTCTTCCTCACGTGGTTGGTGATTGTGAACTTCTTTTCTATGTTTTTCTCTGTGTGAGTCCCTGTGTTTTTTCTGCTGCATGCTAGAGACCAGTTTTTATGTTAATTTCTTGACTTGAGATTCCTATATGATACAGAATGTAAGTTTGGATGCTATACCTCTCTATGGCCATAAGCATGCATTTTACCTTTTCTCCTGCTGAAGGCCTAGATAGCAACTTCTATTGCTGTTTCCCTGAGCCAGTGAGCAGAGATTTTTCAGAGTGCATATCAAGGAAGGATAGATATTTGAGGCTCTGGGCTTTATGTAAGGGTCTCAGTGCTAACTCCCCACCTTCTACCTGCCTGAAGCTACATTTGCAGTCTCCACGTGAGCATTAATGCTTCCTCCTCCCAGCTTAGGGCCTGTACAGGAGTTTGAAACCCCTGTGGGCCACCATGGTCTCAATTCCCACTTATTGTTCTAGCTTTGATTTTGATTTTTCTTTCATTTCGGGTACCTAGGGATTTCTTTTCTTTAATTTTTTGTCAAGCCTACGTATTTTTTTTTTTTTTTTTTTTTGAGACGGAGTTTCACTCATGTTACCCAGGCTGGAGTGCAATGGCATGATCTCGGCTCACCGCAACCTCTGCCTCCTGGGTTCAGGCAATTCTCCTGCCTCAGCCTCCTGGGTAGCTGGGATTACAGGCATGCACCACCATGCCCAGCTGATTTTTTTGTATTTTAGTAGAGACGGGGTTTCATCATGTTGACCAGGATGGTCTCAATCTCTTGACCTCGTGATCCACCCGCCTCGGCCTCCCAAAGTGCTGAGATTACAGGCTTGAGCCACCGCTCCCGGCCCCAAGCCTACGTATTTTAAAAGCATTTTTGTTACGTTTTATCCAGCATTTCAGTGTTTGTAGTGGGTGAAAACGATCCATTTACTTCAGCCCAGTGTGCCATTTTGCCAAACGTCTGTTTTTTCATTATTATTGCATTAATCTTAGCAAATTTTCAATTTCTGACATTGCCAACTTAGATTCATTGTGTAGCCATGGACCACCCTTGGATGTTTTAGGCCTTAACTGTTTCCATTTCCCTTTAATTGCTCAAGCTTGTAACCATCTTTTTAGTATCTATATATTGGTAAGCCAGATAATTAGGTTCAATTTTCTTTTTAACTTTGCCCATTTGCTCATTCTGCTGAAGTTTTCCTTTTTCTCTTCTAATTCAGTTGTTCACAAAAATATTAAATAGTCCTGACCACACGATGCTCTAAATATCTCCCTCTGCATCTTGGGTGGTTCTTTGTTTAATCTGATGTGGGTACCCTCCCCAGACATTTAAAAGCAACCTTTTAAGTTTGAGTCTATCCTGAAAATACAATCCCAGTCACTTGTTTCTTACTAATAAGAAAGAAGTGTTTAAAAAGATCTAATGTATGTCCAGGTAAGTCTTTTGGTTTACTCTAATCCATAAGATTTATGTCTTGTCTTACCAAAAAAAAAAAAAAATCACATTACATTGATATAATTTGTTTCGTAGAAAAACCTCACCAGTACCTGTTTATGGCCTTTTATTATTTGCAAATTGAATTCTTGTTCAGATTTTTCTCAAATATTAAATTAATTTGAAATTAAAAAAATTTTTTTTCTAGTTTTAAATCTTTTGGAATTTTTCCCCCTC